TTACGGGGCGTGGTTTGCATTCCGCCCAGCCAATCAGACATAGGAACCTTTTTCTCCCACGAAAGTACCTGCTCTCTAGCAGGGACGGAAAAGGGGGTAAAAAAGGTTCTGATGAACACATTTTTAGTTCCGGCTCTTTTTGGTGTGAACGCGACATTTCGGAAATATATCGGAACTAAAGTGGGGAAAAATACTGCGTTGTGAACGCGGATATAGATATGGAGCTTAAGTGTGTGACATTTTAACTACCTTTTTAAAAAAAAAATAATATATATATATAAATCCGGAAACCCTGACATTTAGGGAAGTAGTTGCCCATTTGTCAGGAAAAATAGACTTAAACATATACAATATTACCTAAAAACTGAACCTCATAAACTTCATGACAGATTTATCAGAAGTTCTGTTGCCTTAGCCTGCATTAGGTTTAGCTAGGTGTACCTTAAAGGTGGGGTAGGTAATTAACTTCAGAAACACTTTGTTATATTCCATGGAATGCTCTTAACATCCAGATAGCAATGAATATATGAAATGCTTTGACAAAAAATACATTAAAAAAAAAAATCATCTCTGGAAGCCGTGAACCTGTAAAAAGCACGACCAATCATTTTAGCCGGCCCGGCTAAAATAACTGGATAGCCTACCTGCCTTCCATCTGTGCACAAACTTACCTCGTGCCCTCATTGGTCATGTTGGTGTGTGTTGGAGGAGGGGCTCTATAAGGAAGTCTGAAGGAAGGGGCAGATTTTTTTCCGGTTGTGTACTTTCAAATTCTAGCGCACTCCAGCTAGTTTCTCCATTCTTACCCTACCTTTTTAATAAACGTTATTTTTAATGATATTTCAGACTCCTAGGGAAATGTCATGAGTTTGAGTCTAGTGTGTAACCTAGTTTCACTCCGTCAGGTACAATAAACTAGCTCAGGAGTGGACAGAGAAGTATGCCATGCTTTAGGGTAAGGTCACGAGGCAGTGCTGCATCTTGCCTGTTGTTTGTGATGGTCACGCTGACATAACTGTGATGATACTAATCTCCAGTTATGTGTTTATCTAGCCTCCTGCTGTAAATAGTTCACCAAATATTTGTTGCAAATGTATTGACCCACAGATGGAGTCTCTTTGGTTACTGCTCATATATGCCAGATCAATAGATCCAATAGTGGTTATTGTGAGGAATCTTTTTAAATGTTTTATTGATACACGATCTACAAAATAATCTGTAACGCTACCTACACACGTTGTTGTCACAGCTAGCATAAGCAATGTATAAACTCTTTTTAAACGCGTGTTATTTTGGAGTTGAGATACTAGAAGTTTTTTAAATGTGTTCAGCATGACTCAAAATTACCTTTCTCTTAGGCCTGTGTGTTTCGCATTTTTGACGATAGGCTTATTAAACTTTTTGTAAAACTGGAAATTGTGTTGTAGCAAAGAAGCATGTAAACATAGCCACTAACTCAAGCATGTTAAAGTTTGATTTTGGAAAATAAACCTTTTTTATTTAGTTAAGTTTGTTCAGCATCCAGTATTTTCACACGTATAGTGACGCATTATGTGAGGATGGTATCTTGGTTTCCCCTGTTTCTATAAGGCAATGTGCTAAAGTGCATGTGCTTTCAAAAAATCCTAAATTAAAGTGTGCAATTACTTTTAGTTATCAATCGTTTTTGACCGGTCATATGCTGGCTTGCTTACATTTTTCTTTTCCTCTCTCTTTGCAGATACACCAGAATGGCAAAAGACTGGACACACAAATATGCAATGTGAGGCGTCGCTGGGAAAGCTGGTGGATAATGTTGTTGCTGGTTCAAACAAAAAAAAATCCAGGATTCTGATTTTTCTTTTTCCACTTTTTTTTCTCCCCTCTTTTTTTTGTTTTGTTAATCAGAGCATTTTACCCCCTCGTTTTTTCCACTTGCGCGCTCATAAGAAGATAGTGTTTTCTCTCTAGGACACGTGCCAGTTTCTGTGAAGTTTCGACTCCCAGTTTGTTCGGAGTTTAAAAAAAATAAATAATATGAATCATTATGGTTCTGAGCACTCAGCTTGAGCATGCACCAGTAAGAGTTGGTGATGTTATTCATTCACTCTTCTGCACACACTTAGTAGAATCTGATGCGACTGGCTGCATCCTGTGCGGACTGTCTTTACTTTACCGTACGCTGGATTCCTCAGAGCACTTATAGAGAAGCCTGTCTTTTGCCATACATGTAAATTGTTATGTTTCAAACCGATACAAATACATAAATCTGCTGCATCTTACTTTAAAAGTAGTACAAAATCTAAAACGAAATATTTGGGAAGCTGGTTTTGATGTCTGTCTGTTTTTCTGATCTTTAGTATAGCATTCTACTACCTGAGGAAAGACGTGTATCTTATTCCACTCAAAGTGTGTACAGAGAAGCACAGCAGTATATATCAATGTTAAGACAAACAAAATATAAGAACTTCAATGTTGTATTTTATGCATGTTAATAAAGTTAGGCTATTATATCTGATATGTTTCTGCAAATGTAGGTGGATTGTAAGGCTGAACAGTTGGACAATTGTGGTTCCCCTCAAAGGCTTTCTTTTGTTTCTTCTGTTATTTAGAAGCCAGTAGATGAGCTGTTAGTTTTATGCCCACTCGAACACTGTCTTCTTGTAGCCCTAAAATATTGATGCAAAGCTTAATGGTTGATAATCAACTTGTCGCTCTGTTTCTTTTTAGTTTTCCCTTCAATAAAGTTACTCAAAACATAAAACGAATCAAGGTTGTGCCTGTTTTGTTTTTCATTTGATGCTAATGTCTTTATATTCACAGCCAAATCACTCTCCTTTTGAGATGTATTGAGTGTTTATGACTGATTCGTCCATTGATAACCTTTTGTGCCTTTTACAAAGGGCAACTACCAGCTGTCTTACTTAATAAAACCTTGTTTTGGTGGTTTCTTTTAAATGTCTTGTAGGTCATTGCTTTTATGAAATAATGCCACTAACTAGTAGACAACTCAACAACTGCTTTGATAAAAATATAATTCAATAGTAGTGGGTTACTGTAACTGCATGTAAATAATCATTTGCAGGTACATTGGACAAAGATACACCTGTGTATTGATTTGTGAAAGGCAAGGAATTTCGGTACCATGAGATAAACGGGGCAACTGTGGCCGGTTGCTTGCCAAATAGTGAGCCCACATTTATCTGTACTGCTAAGCCTTATATTGGCAACCTAGCTTACTTCGTCTTCATCAGCCAGCATCCTTGGTCTTTGTTGCTCACTGAGTTGATTCTCGCTAAGTAGCCAATATAAGGCTTAGACATCTTGCCAAATAGTGAGCCTGTGTTGATGTATGAAAACTGTTAGAACCAGGTTATAACTGGTTTATAAATGGTTCTTAATGATTAATAAAGTGTTTACAACCTAATTCATTTATTAATTAGGTTGTGAACACTTTATAAATCATTAATAAGCTTTTATAAGACATGAGATAAACGGGGCAACTGTGACCGGTTGCTTGCCGAATAGTGAGCCCACATTTATCTGCACTGCTAAGCCTTATATTGGCTACCTAGCTTACTTCGTCTTTTTCATCAGCCAGCATCCTTGGTATCTGTTGTCCACTGAGTTGATTCTCGCTAAGTAGTCAATATAAGGCTTAGTCCTCTTACCAAATAGTGAGCCTGTGTTGATGTATGAAAACTATGTTAGAACTGGTTTATAAATGGTTCTTAATGATTAATAAAGTACTTAGAACCTAATTTATAACCTAATTATGAACCCGTTATGAATCCTTTCTAAGGGTAGTCTTATTGTAAAGTGGTACTGGAATTTCACTAGTGTCTCAAACGTCCCTTCTGTGATGGCCCTTGCATATTTGGTTTTATTTCCAGCAAAACTGATAGTGTTTATATAAATAAAAATAACTGCAGATGGTGATTATTTATACAATGAATACACTCAAATCAACTATTAAATATAAAGATGTACTAAATGTTTACTACACACTTACAGAGAATGCCCATTTAAATTAATTGTAAATTAAAAATCCTATATTTTTATATATTTTGTTTTACGTTTTGACATTATGCATTATGCCACAAGTGAGAAAAGAAAATATTTCCACATGTACAAAAATATTTTATGGGAATGCCTCCAACTCGCTTAAATATAAAAGTAAAACTTGTTTTTTTAAGAGGCTTGGATTTGAAACTAAGAACAATCTTAGAATAACTCAACTTTTGTTTATTTATTACATATAGCCACTTTTATGAAAACCCCACCTTAGAAATACAAATCTAAATGATGCAAAAATAATTGCTAATCAGTGTAAAATGTAACATAATTAATGATTTAATGCATTTTTGAACGTCATTCATTTTAAAAACATGTGTATGTAGTAATTGTTTGTATTCATTATATACACATATGTCCGTTTACTGGGTTATTTTGTATTGATTTATTTTAGCTATATTTACAATTTCTTGTTACAAAGGTTTTTTTACATGATTTAAACCTGCTTTGTCTTTTGTTAATTGTTCAATAAAGAAACTTTTTTTTTGCGCCAAGACTTATATCACCTGACTGCCACAAGGTGGGTCACATGACCAACACGGAAACGGCTGTCAGGGAAACAAAAACAGAACCCTTATAGCACACTTTTGAAGAGTATTTCAGCCATGACTATGTGTGGGACCTGTTATTGTGTTCCCAGTGTTTTGCTGTGTTTATTGTTCGGAGTTTTACCCCGGGTTTGTTCAGAAACGTTAAGTTTAAACGGTAAGTGGAGTCTTTCAAACTCCAACGGTTCCGTGTCGCTGCCTGCGGAAGTACCCGGATGTGTTCATTCAGCTCTACAGAAACAGGGATACATCCAGGTCGGTTCATTATGTGATATACAATAAAGAAGTATTACTATTTCCAACTCCTGATTCAGAGACTTGATGCTGGTTTTCATGATAATTCCACTTAAATTGTGGATTTAAGTGCATTACTTAAGTACACTTTTTGGATATTTTACTTTCGGTTTACTTCTCTAAATTATAGTAATAATAAAAATACGCAGAGGTTCAAATGAAGGCAGTGAATTTACTCAGGTACTGTACTTAAATTGTAAATGTGAGGTCATTTAAATTTGAGGTAGAGTTCTTATGTTATGATACTTAACAACAATTTAGTTGGAAATGTCCTACTTTATAATATTGCTACATTATATTATGATATATCGCATTTTAAGCAGTTTAATTTGTGTACCCAACTACATCCCATAGGCTAATGTTATACTTTTACTTTATTTGTCCGACTTTTAGGATTAATACAGTTTCCTAGTATTTTCTTTTAGAGCGTTTAATGAAGTGGATTACTCTCAGGCCCAAAACAGATTCATTATTTCACAAAAGAAAGCAACACTCACAGGTATTGTGGTCTAGTGCAGGTAAACAGACAAATACTTAGAAAGAAATGCACAATCAAAAGGAGCTGATTAAGACTATGTTGGTCTGATGTTGAAGTTGTAATGAAAATAAAAGTCATAATCAAGCAAAGCAAAATAGAAATGAAAATACGGTACTCTACATGTCAAATAGACATCTAAGTATCTCAATATTTCTTAAATCCTGATTTACTGCTCTTTTCTTGGCATAAAAAATGTCAACAAATGCTGCTCTATCAGCAGCAGGTAAAACAAAACCAATACTTTTTAAAAGTTATTTAAAGTCATTTCTACCAGCTAAATGTTTTCCGTACTTTGTTTTAGGATCCATATTTCAGGTTTAATGATGTGTCTTATCGATGGATTGCCTTTGACAACTGGAATTACACAACCACATTTACTGTTTCTACCCAGCTCAGGTCAGTAAAACATGTATATTTATAAAGTATTTTCTGTATCATGTTCCTGACTCCTGTTTTCTGCATTCACAGATCCAAACAGAAGGTGCTGCTTGTCTTCGACGGCGTTGACACGGTAGCGTCGATATGGCTCAATGGGATTGGTGTCGGGGAGACAGACAACATGTTTCAGAGATATGTAAGTGTTTGAAAAACATCACTCGTCACCGGCTTGAGCTTCAATATCAGGATACATGTATTTATTATCCTTGCAAGAATGGAAGTAGTCATCACACACAAAGCTGCGTGGGACAACTAGTTCCCTAAACAGTGTCCTTGACATGCTGATATACAAGAGGGTGTTACAGTCACAAGATGCAGAATATCGGTTCAAAGCAGTATTCAATGTTTAGTTCAGATTAGCTAAGGCCTGCGTAAGCAATAAACATGACAGTTATATGTCTATCTCCATAGAGGCTGAATCATCATGTTAATCACATAGCTATCATATGCCTAAAACAGTCCTGACGTTCTTCTAGGTAATCATACATCCTGTTACGTACACATCTACGTAGGGTCTTTGTTATCATGTGCTACTCTGATATTAGAAGGGTACATTCAGTATTTTCCCAACATTAAGGTCAATAGGAAAATAAGCATTTCACTATGCACATTTTCCTAAATGCATTATTCAAATCATGCAAACACGTCCGTTTCCTGGTGCAGGCCTTCTCAGTCAGAGACGTTCTGAAGGACGGGGGTAACGTGCTGAAGGTGAGCTTCCTTTCTCCAGTTCTCTATGCGTCCGATCAGAGGAGAGCGCACTCTGCATACAGAGTTCCTCCGGACTGTCCTCCAGACGTGCAGCACGGGGAATGTCACGTCAACTTCATCAGAAAGGTGAGTTTACCTCCTGCAGCGTTTCACATCTCCTCTGGAAACCTGACAGTTAAACAACCATAGTGATTACACAAACATTTTCATCCCAAAACATAGGAATAGGGTGTTGATAGGCTGCACAGATTGTACATTTTTTTATGTAGGCTCCATTAGTGAATAAATAAATGTGTAGTTCTTTTAGACATCTGCATCTTAAAGCTTTTTTTTTTTAACAATTTGCCGATTCTAGCAATACTGATTTTTATTGTGCAAGTGTTTTGTTACATTTCGCCTCATAGAAACTGCCTAAGTCATATTTTGGCCAAATTGAGATATCTGCCTAACTCTTGTTAGTCATCTCTTTGACTGAGGCATACAAAGATGGCGCCCCCATGAAAAACCGGGCTCGGCTGACCACAAGGGAAGCATTAGCTCTTCTCTTTGATTCAAGTGAGGAAGAAGACCGGTCAGGAAGTGAGAGGGACACCGGGCGACAGATTGAAGAATGAACGGGAGTTAAAGCTTCAAGGGCATGTTCTGATTCATGGGCAGAATTACACTTTTTGTGAAAACCTTAAAATAGGGCTTAGGCAATGATGCGACGAGGCTTACCATTTAGTTGTTTGAGTTTTACCCCTTCACTAAACACTGACCTTTCTCACCCCAACCAGAATGATCTCCGCATTGTCTTTTTAACGAATGATCTAAGCATGCAGAACAAATCCCTTAAATCTTTCACAATAATAACACATTTAGCTAATGTTTCTGTGAAGGCGCAGAGCTCCTTCAGTTGGGACTGGGGTCCCTCGTTCCCCACCATGGGTATGTGGAGGGGGGTCCGTCTGGAGGCGTTTGACGTCCTGCAGCTCGTCCTGCTCTCCTCTGTTCCTCTTTACAGTACGTCTACCTTAATCGCCAACCTCTTGTTGGGTAAAACCCTAAATACATAAAGAACGTATCCTCTAACACAGTGGTTCTCAAATCGGGGTACGCGGACCCCTAAGGGTACGTTGGAGTACTGCAGGGGGTACGTGAGATTTATTTTAAGTTAATGGAAAAAAAAAAAAGGTAATGCATTTAAACAAACTACTAAAAGCAGATGAACTACTTTATTCAAAAGTTCACAGCAATTCTGGATAATAAAATGTGTTTTTTAAACCAATCACTCTACAGAGAGGCGTGGGGAGGGGCAGCTCATTTGCATTTGAAGCTACAGACACAGAATCAGTACTTTTGAAACAGGGCTGAAACAGAGGATTTATGGGATGCTGCAATGATCTGTTTGGTATTTCAGACAAACACTTCAGAGACATGTTTTCTATAAATCTGAGACCTATAATATATTGTTGAAAAATAGTATAATAGTGTACCTTTTTTAATTCATAGTCTATATATATATATCTGTCTAGGTGTGAGCAGCTCTCAGTGGAGAGTCCATGTTGAGCTTCATGTCGATGCGCTTCAGACGACAAATGGTACAATCTCGCTCTCCATACCGGAGCTGGAGTCAGAGCAGATCATCCAGATGCAGTTTCTCAGAGGAAGGACCAAGAAAAGCTTTGACTTACACATCAACACGGTACTCCATACCAGAGTTCCCAACTGGTCCAGCCTATATAAATACATGACAAAATACAGAGTTAAATCTGATAAGTAAAATCTGAAAATGTGTTTTTTAACACTTAGATGTTTTAATGCTTTTTTCTTCTTTTCTCTCAGAGCAGCGAGGTGAAGCTCTGGTGGCCCAACGGACACGGTGAGCAGCCATCTTACCTCCTCACTGTGGGAGGCTTGCAGGACGGATTCACGATCCTGAATACAGAGACTAAGGTCAGAGTTCACCTTGCAGTATTTAGACATTTAAGTGTACTCTGACAATTTTGCAGTAGTAGAATTGGCTGAAATTACTTGTTTGCCGAAATCTAAATCCCCAGATTCCAACACATTTTCACTCTGAATTATGAGCGAGATGGACCGTTTATTTATTTATTTGTAGTTGCTTAATTTGACATGAAACAGGAGATTAGTTTATAGCCACGATGACTAGAAAAGTAATCGTGTTCAAAATCAGGTGTAGAGTTAGTCACAAACACTTATGTATCTTAAAGTGCTTTCTTTACCTCACCATTCAAATGTAAGCTCTTAAATTTGAAATGTCTAAATCTTGGGTGTAACTTTTCTTGGAAGTTTTTGAAAAGTGACTGGAGACTTTTCAACCATTCTTCTTATTGTGGAACGCCATCAATCAGTTTTAGTGTACTATATACCTAATGATGCTTTCCATAAAGGAAACACATTTTCTTATCCAAATTGAAATGCTACTTCCATGTTGTGAAATACATCTGGATGCTGAGATTCAAATTCTTGGGATATAAATGTTGTTATCATTTTTTTCGCTTGAGGTTTTCAGGACACAAGCTTAAAATCGTATTCAAATGTACATTTTCACACTTTCTCTAAAGATATTGCTGTCCCTTTTGTTTAAAGGATTGTCACATTTGCCACGGAGATTAAACTGAATTCCCAAACTTGAGTGTTTCTTGGTCTGACTGAACAACTCCTGCAGGTTTATTTCCGTACAGTTGAGCTCGTTCAGGAGCCGGTGGTCGGGTCTCCGGGCTTGAGCTTTTATTTCCGCATCAACGGAAAACCAATTTTCCTGAAAGGTTCCAACTGGATCCCTGCGCACTCCTTCCAGGACCGAGTCACCCCTGATGTGTGAGTTTAGTGAGAGTTTAATGCGCTCTATATACTGTCATATTGCTCAACCCTAGATCACTCATTGCTGTATTGCCTGGTTCTTTGTACAGATTTGTCTCTGCTCCCTGTCTGCAGCTTAAGGAACTTGTTGCAGTCGGCCGTGGATGCCAACATGAACGCCCTCAGGGTGTGGGGTGGGGGAGTGTACGAGCAGGACCTTTTCTACAGCCTCTGTGATGAGATGGGCATCATGGTAACTAAAAATAATATCACTTTTTTTTTTTATTTAAAGTGCACCTATCATGCTATTTTTAGGCAATAGCATGGGTCTCAGATATATATAGTATAGTAAAATATATAAAAAACATGTCTATGCTCAAAATACCAAAACAGATTGCCCATTCTAGCCATGCCTCATATCCCTCTATTTCACTTCCTGTTTCAAAAGTGCTGATTTTGGGTATAAAGCTTTAAAAGAAAAAAAATGTATACGAATTAAAAAGGAGGGGGCTGAGCTCATGCGGGACCCGGCAGCTACTGTCTAAACTAAATACTGCCGTGATGAAACGCCATATCATGGATTATCAAGGATTATTTCTGAAACAGTATGGAGCTCAAAGGATTTCTCTCTTGCCGGTTATACCACAAGGTGAGTTCCTTTTTAATTCCTGCTTCTTCACACACATGCTCTCCAGTACAGGTTAGCTCTGAGTGTTAGCAATGCTAATGTAAACACCGACCATATTACGTCCAAAACAGTTGGGCATTTTTTCTGATAGCAACGTTTCTGATAGTGCTGTGGGTCCACATTTCCGATATTACGTCATATCGGGCGCAAATCTGGATCAGCTCCGTTGTACCCCTGTTTTTAGAGATTTGGGTACAGAGGAAAAGAGAGAGGGTTTTATTTTCTGAGTTCCCCGACACACCGGGGACACATATTTATGTATAAAAGACATCAAAAAGTGCATTTTGCATGATAGGTCCCCTTTAATAATAGTACTACCAGCAGAAATGTTAAAATCAGAAAATCACTGGGGCTTATTGAACATTTGGTTTTAAAGCCAACAGTATATACAGTAAAGTAAACAAATTCTATTTTATTTATTGATGGTATAAAATACATAGTTGGCTTTTATTAAGCAGTGTTTTTTTAATTGTATCTTGCTATTTCATTGGTTTTTCTTAATAGGAAAAACCTAACTATATAACACCGTTAATAGTACATAAGTAATGTTTAAGCACCACTATTACTCATGAACATCATGTTGTATAACAGATGGATATTTTTGTAGATATAGCATTTAGATGTGTTTTTATTTCAGGTTTGGCAGGACTTCATGTTTGCCTGTGCGATGTACCCGACTGACGAAGACTTCCTACAGACAGTGAGAGAAGAAGTCCTCCATCAGGTGAGCGGCGTATTTATGTAATATCATTTCAGTTTCATTTATATTGAGCAATGTTAATTTGACCGTGATTCAAGTTTTGTAATTGAAATTAATTGTAATTTGATCCTTTTTACATTCAGTTATATGCGGATCTATCTTTAGATGTGTTACTGTGATAGAAAGTATGGATGGAAATTGGCTAAAAACTGCATAAATCATCTCTTCACTCTTGAGAATAATGTTTGTTAAGGCTGGTCCTTGTTTTCTAAGACTAAATAATAACAATCAAAACATATTTTACATGGTAATTTAACCAAAAGCCAACAAAACGGATGAAACTAACAGCATCTGAAGGTAGCTGCCTAAAAGTTTGTTAAAGGTAGTTGGTTTTGTCTTTGTGCTTTCACTCCTCAGGTTCAGCGACTAAAGTCTCATTCCTCTATCATCATTTGGAGCGGGAACAACGAGAACGAAGCGGCTCTGGCCACAAATTGGTTTGACATCCCAGAGGCCGAGAAGCCGACATACCTGACTGATTATGTGAAGCTGTACGTGGATAACATAAGGGGAATCGTTCAGGAGGTGAGAGGCCAATGGAACGCCATTTATCCCAAAAATATTTTTGATCGGAAAATAGCTGTTAACTACAAGGAGCACAATATATTATTTGTGATCTGTGAAGTTGAATATACAAAATATATACACATTAACTTTTTTCATGTTATATCCCACCCTTATTTTCATTCTGCCTCTGAACTCTTAACCGTCCTAAAAAGGCTCACAAAAACAAAGAATCAAAAAGTAGAATGTTCTATCTTATATGTATGCATTTTTGATATTCCAGCATCCAACTTCCACCATTTCGTCCTATTATGGTCTTCTTTGAGGTGTTATGTTAATGTCTTCTGTAACCATTAGCCAATCACCAACCAAGGTAACCCCCCCCCCACACCTTATCACCTGAATCTCCTCCTAGAGCACCATTGAGTTCTTAT